CGCAGATAGCCCTCGTGTAGCTTTGCGCGAAATTCAAAACAAACAAACAATACTTCAAAAGTTATTGTTTAAATGGTAGCAATAATATCTGCAGCGCTTGACGAAAGCTGAATCACCAGCTTCGATCAGTCATCTAACGTTAGGTGTCGCTGTGCAATGACCTTTCTATTAAATCAAAACTTTGTCAGATAATTTTTAAAGCTTTTATTTGTAATTTCTACAGGTAGTTAATTCTTTTTATCCTACTCTGGTCTTCCGTTCCTTGAAAACCACAAGTTATAACTTGAAATGTTTAACGTACTAATCTAGCCTTCGATCCTCTGAAAAACTGCTCTTGTAGAAGTTGACTCATGAATGACAACTTCTGATGGCAATTTAAGATGCGAAATAGTCTGATAATAACTAAATTGAAATCGATTTACCGAGGACGTGAAATCGTCTGATAATAGCTAAAGTGAAGTTGATTTATTGAGAGCCTTATTAAGGACGTTAAATAGTCTGACAATAGCTAAATTGAAGTAGGCTTATTAAGGACGTTAAATAGTCTGACAATAGCTAAATTGAAGTAGCCTTATTAAGGACGTTAAATAGTCTGACAATAGCTAAACTGAAGTAGCTTTATTAAGGACGTTAAATAGTCTGACAATAGCTAAATTGAAGTAGGCTTATTAAGGACGTGAAATAGTCTGATAATAACTAAATTGAAAATGACTTATTTAGGATGTGAAATATCTGATAATAGCTAAAGTGAAGTTGATTTACTGAGAACGTTAAATAGTCTGATAGTAGCTAAAAGCACCCCAGTGGCACAGCAGTATGTCTGCGGACTTACAACACTAAAAACCGGATTTCGATATCAGTGGTGGGCAGAGCACAGATAGCCCATTGTGTATCTTTGTGCTTAACTTCAAACAACAATAACAAGTAGCTAAAATGAAGTCGATTTATCGAGGGTGTGAAATAGTCTAATAACAGCTAAACTGGGTCGATTTATTGAGGATTTAAAATAGTCTGATAGTATCTAAACTGAGTTAATTTACTGAGGATATGAAATAGTTTGATAATAACTGTTGCGTCATCGAGGTCACGTGACTGGTGTGGCGCCACCTATTTTCTAGAACTATCCTATACCTTGGCGAATGCTCTAGTATTTACTAGATATAGGGTAGTCTGGTATATAAAAGGGGGTGACAACGTGACGGGACAATAATGTGTGTGTAGATAGTGAGTAATGGAACTGCAGTCACAGGGTATTGTTGAAGTTAACGTACGTTCGTTATAGTGTTTGTTTTAGCGCGAATATTGAAATTAAGTGTATCGTAAAGTTGTATTCGGAAAGAATAAACCAGTTTTATTAAGTAAGGACTTGTGTCGCTAAAGTTTCATCGGAAACGAAGTTACGGAAAGTTAATTAACAAACGGAGACGTAACATAACTAAACAGAAGCCGATTTTAAATCAAAGGAATTCTGTGCTTCTACTCCTCCTAAAACCGTAAACGCATTCCAACATTTTGAATAGTTTTATTCGCATTCCTGTTGAATATATTTTATTTACTTGCATACTACTGCAGTGTTATTTATTTAGTTAGTTAGATTCATCAACTATATTGTTTTCATAAATACGTTTCAGACATCAAGAAAAATGTAACTTGTCACGCAGTTACCGATATCTTTAATTATGATTTATAAGTTACTGAATATTAAGATGAAATTTATAATAATATAGCTGCTCCTGTGAAAATGGGAAATTATTTCGATTTGTCACGTTTGGTGGTTTTTTTTTGCTTTGTTTTTCATTTTTCAAAGAGTTCCGTATATTAACTAAGAGCTACGTAATTTGTTTGTTTTGAATTTCGCGCAAAGCTACACAAGAGTTATCTGCGCTAGCCGTCCCTAATTTAGCAGTGTAAGACTAGAGGGAAGGCAG